ACAAATGCGAGGGGGATGATAGGATTTTCAGTGACACAAATTGTAAAACTGAAATTTTGCTGATTCTTCAATTTTACTGAAGCATTCAAATTCAATTTTTACTTCTTCGTTTTCGTGCATTTGTGGTTGGAATTTTATATGAAATCCAAATTTGGTTGACCAGGCGCGCGTTCCTTATGAATGAATTTGTTGGCGTTGTAATATGAAATATGTAAAAAATATGGGGCAAGCCAGCTCGAATCTTATTGGTCGATGATGGTGCATCTGCGTTTTTTGGTACTGCTTGTATAGCACAGGTCCTTATTGCAAATTTACATCAAATATTTTGGCTTTTTTAATTTTTATAAACCTTTTTTATTAAATTTATTTTAATTTCATTTTCATTTTTTCCTCATTATATTTTTGTTCTTCAAAATCTATTATTTTAAGGTGTTCCTTTATAAGGTGGTTACAAATTAGTTACTTGGTTCCTGCTTAGAGTGGTATACTTTGTTAAGTTCGATTATCATGAGGGGAAGGTACTTTTTTGACGTGGTGTAATTGAACTTTTGAATTTGCGCATTTTCGATGTTCCCTTTTAATAGTTTACATTTTAGCACAGCTAACATTTGCGCCTTCTCTATTTATTAACATTCTCTGCTGTAAGTCTATTCCTCAGCTCCTCATACTGGTCATTTATATTTTATACATACATACATATATTATGTATATATTTTATAGAGTCCGACGCTTCCTTCTAGGTGTTACAAACTTCGTGGCAAACTTAATATACCCTGTTCAAAAAATAATTCCAATACCCACTTCAGTTTGTTGCTGGTCGAGATTTCTTAATGAAACTGGCTGAGATTTGAGGGGGGAAACCAGTTTAGATGATTAAAATAAATCGATTTTTTTTTATTGCAGAAATTGTTAGTACAACTATTTAAGAATATGTTGCTTAAGTTTCAAATCGAAATTCCAATTAGTTCCTATGATATGAACACTAAGGTAAACACCGGTCGATTCAGTGCCGAAGCGCCTTTTTTGTACTCTCGCAACATCTTGCTAGAGAGTATAATAGTTTTGTTCGCCTAACGGTTGTTTGTATCACCTAAAACTAATCGAGTTAGATATTTGGGGTATACTTATATAAATAATCAGGAGACAAATTGAAATCCGGGTGACTGTCTGTGTGTCCGTCCGTCCGTGCAAGCTATAACTTGAGTAGAAATTAAGATATCTTACTGAGACTTGGTACACATGTTCCTTGGCGCTGTAATAAGTTTGGTATTGTAGATGGGCATAATCGTACCATTTCCACGCTCAAAAAACGTTATTAATCTAAAATCAATAACTTGCCATAACTAAGCTCCACAATAAGATACAATACTGTTATTTAGTATGCAGGATTACATTAGGGAAGGGCATCTGCAATGTAATTTTTTTTAAGTGGGTGGTCCCGCCCCCTAATAGGTTTAATGTGCATATACCTAAACCGCTAAAGCTATAATAACAAAATTCAAATGTTTTTAGCACCTCCACGGACAGTGTTAAGATGGTTGAAATCGGGTGACAACCCCCAAGCACTAAACACGCCAGAGACATTAAATTTTATCTCTGGGATGGTATGAGACGACGGTGGCACCGCCCACTTTTAGGTGAATCCCATATCTTTTGATCTGCTTAACCGATTTCAACCAAATTTGGTACATAACATTATTCACATATTTCTATGTTATAGTGCGAAAATGGATTACAACCACGCCTATTTCCCATATAACACCATTTTAAATTCCATTATGCAAATCAAGCAATAATGATTGTATCGGGATAAAACTTTGCGTGAATAATGTGATTAAAATATGCCACCTTGTGACCAAAAACTGTCTAAATCGAACCAAAACTGTTCAAGACCCTAAGTACTGAATATGTGGACCCCAGTGCCTATAGTTGACTTCCTTCAATATATAATTTTGCCAACACCTGCAAGTTGCGAGAGTATAAAATGTTCGGTTACAACCGAACTTAAAACTTCCTTACTTGTTTTCAAGTGCGTTTTTCTCGAAACGACTTTTTTCAACTTGCGGGAATTCTAGCTCGAAAAGTTATTGACGAATCGATCTGAAAATTTGTTTGAATATCCTTTATTCAAGTTCGAAAAATATGAACCAAACTCTGGAATGATATTATTAAGTAAACTATACTTTTTCTGTAAGAAAAGTAAGAAAAAAAATTATATAAAAACATAAAATTTTATATAAACACTTCCAAAACATTCAATTTTCAACTGTTTTGGCCAGAGTTATACTAACGAAAGAAAAAAAAATAATGATTTCAGATCAAAACTGTGACCTCCAGGTGCCCCGCCAGCAGTCATCTCTGATGGCGGTCATCAATGGACACCACCCTCTAACTCCACCACTTCCGGCGTAAATTGCATCGAAAAATTTAAAAGTGTAGTTCAAAATAGGAATAAACTACCCTGGAAGTTTAAATGAATTCTAAGTATTCTTTCTCAGTTAAAAACAATTCCAAAAACACTCGAATTTCGGCCTCCTAAACTGGTTTCCCCCTTATGATAGCATCCTTCGAATTCGGAGTTAAATTGGGTATGTACAGAGAGGAAGTTCTCCAGATTAAGAAAATCGTTTTCGAGATATTTGCATTTAAAGTTCAAAAATTTAACAATAAAGTGCGGGTTTATTTAATTTATAATAAATTTTACACTTAAACTTTTAAACACTTTCACTAATTCATTTGTACGCATTTATTTTGTATTGAAAAGTGCAAAAATAACTTTAATTTAGTATTTAACTTTTGTTCAAATCCATTTATTTCTGCCGTCAATACAACATTCATAATCGTGTGATAAGTAACGAAAAATCTTTCAGAATTTCTTTTCTCATGAAAAATCCCGGTGTTGGACCGACCGGGGTTATTTTTTTTTGGAAGCGCGACCAAAGCCCGAACATGCAAAAAGGAGTTCTACGCGAAAGAACGGAAGACACTCCTAGTATTGGACCGACTAGGGTTATTTTTTTGAAGGCGAAAAACTTATAATAATAAATCTGTTTTCTTTATTTCTTTTAGTTCCTATGTAGATAAGGTAACACTGATTATTTTTTAAAATTCAACCCTTTTGTTATTGTGTGAATATAAAAAAATGAACATATATTAAGTATTGGATTATAGTTATTTTAGTGATGTGTTAGTGGATAAACGAAGAAACGTGCACGTTAAATAGTGTAATTTTTGAAATTTAAATGCAAATATCTCAAAAACTATAACTCTGCGGCAACTATGTATATATACATATTATATATAAAAACTTTATCTGAATAACTTCCTCTATCTGTACATGTCCACTTTAACACTGGACTCGGGGTATACTATTCTAAAATTTACCCATGAAACCGATTAAAACTAGGTGCAAACAAACCAGATTTAAAAAATGTTTGTATACTACTATAGTTCGTTCGATGCATTACTTTCCAATGCCTACAGAATTGAAGATATCTTCTATAAATTAACATATGTATATTCACAACGCTTGCCGTTAATTAGAAGTATACGAGACAAACGTAGGATACATAGAATGGCATGCTCAATTTTTATGTTAAGTGTGACATTTTAACTCAAAATTTTTGTAAAACAAGCTCCTGATCAATTTTATTTTGAAATTAGCTTACTAAATACAATTTGAAAATTTTGCTTTGGCATAAGTCCCAAAATTTCACTCTATGCCTTAGGGTTTCTGGTAAATCCGGTGAACTCAAAAATACTGTTGAGTAATTGACGGCCTTATCTGCTTTCACAATGGTGTCTACTGATTTATATGTATATCTTCACTTTCAATATTGCAGTGAACATTATGATTAAGATCGTAGATAACTTTATTTTCGCAACAAGAATAGTCATGTAATTCTAACGGGCTTTAATAAATTTATAAAAGACAAATGTTCCGAATGCAGGATATTCAATACGAAGTATAGTATATACAAGCTAAGCTTTCAAAAAAGCTTTGCATTCTTTTCTAACACCAAAAAAGGTTAGATTAGGTGTCGAAAACAGAATAAGTCAGTAAGATATAAATTGTTGATTATGAGGATGTACAATGACTGTTATTTATGTTCCATTGCTTCCTTTTGCTTCCTCTATTTTGCTATCTAATTGAAGAAGTTTTACCACATAAATCATTAAACACTTGTGCTACATATAACTTGTTGTCAAATAAAAAAATGTGGAAAACGGTTGGCCTCAAGGGCCATCCCTGCAACTTCCCTCTAATTTCATACGCTAACGTTCAAGTTTCGCTTTTTTCACTGCTTTTGAGCTCTTCGAAATTTTTCGTTTTCGATATCTAGCAAGTAAATCAATCGATTTCGACCCGGTTTGCGGCAAACGATGTGTTTCTTCAAGGTTTAGAACTGATTTTTGGTGTCGATCGGTCAAGTCGTTTGGAAAAAATTCATTTTGAAAAAATTTATTTTTGAGATTTCTCGAAATCTACTGGTCCGATTGGGTCCAAACTTACACGAAATTCAAGTGCCCTTTGGAATGCCGTTTAGTTTATTCAAATCGGTTGAGCAGTTTAATAGTTATAAGAGGGTCACATACATCCACACACACACACATACATCCACACATACATACAGACATACGGACATCATCGTAGAAATGTTCGGGGAAGCTTCCTCGACCCTCAGAACGTCGAGATCTGTTGAGAACTCGATTTTTGCAAAATGGGGTGAAACCAATATCTTCCCGATTTTTAGAAAATTTTCCATTTTCTTAGCGGGAAGTTAAAAAGAATACTATATATTTAATCTATGTTTCACAATAATTCATTCAAGTAACAGTTTGTAGTTTTCAAGTAACATCAAGCTGGCATTCATATAAAAATAGTAACCACAAGTTGTATATCAAGTAAATTATTATATATTATATATAATTTATACATACATGTACAAGTATGTATATACGTATATAATTAATAAGTATTTACATACTTCGTTTTTCAGGAACCCTTTTGAAGTTGCAATTTTGCGGTAATGACTTTCAGCAAAAAAGGAAAACATGCAAAGAATCAATACATTAATGAAATTTATAGTTCGTGTTTACGAGGGATGGCCTTAGCATTAAAAATTAGAAAAGTTTATCAACCGCTAACCTACTTTTCACTTTCTATATTAATGCAAAGAAAAACAACGGTGTTGCGGATTTGGACAATCAGCATACTCTTTGCTGTCATTTGTCCATTACATATAGTTCATTGCACCGATCCCAAATTTGATTCATTAACACGAATGCGACTTGTTTTAGTACCGGCGGATGCCCAAGTTGGAGCTGTGATTTATCGAATACGTGCGACCGACGAAGAGTTTGACTATCCACTTACCTTTGAACTTATAGGCAATTCTGCATCAGCCTCTGTTAAGATTGATTCGCTTCCATGCACCAAATACAATTCCGTTTGCCAAGCAAATGTTGTGTTACAGCGACGTTTAGAACCGGGGCGGTACTATGACTTCCAGGTATCGGTAAAGGACACAAAAGGGGGTATGACTAGCCAATTGTGTTCTATTACTGCTACCAATTTCACAACACCACACGACCTCATATTTCCCCACAAGCCGGGGATAATAATGATTCCAGAGGTAAACATTTATATTAAAGAAAATAAATTCATAAAATAATTATATTACATTTTTATAATTTATACGGATAAAGGATGCAAAGCGTGGAACAGAATTGGATTATGTAATTGCTCGCAAAAATCCACTTTTCCAAAAACCAGTTTACCTTGAGTTATGGGTAAGTAGAAACTGATATTGATAATTTAATTTTGTTAATTATTTTGGCTTACTACATTGAGATCGTTGTTAACATGATCATTATTATTAAAGAGAGTGAATAAATATATTCGAATTTCGACGGTCATCCATCTGGAAATATCTATATCTATACAGTCATTGTTGTGTAATAGTTTTTAGATTTTTTCTTTTCTTCACTTCGAAAGATCAATAGGGGCTTCCCGCAAAGTGCGGTTCTTTCCCCTGCGACGTTTCTCTTATTATAACTACTGTCTACTGTCTATCCTAAGGGTACCTCAAATAAATATCCAACTGGGCGAACAGACGCAGTTTAACCGTCACCCAAGTAAAACTGAAATAGTTTTATTTACCACAACAGAGGTAAAAAAATTTCGCCGTCAAGACAAGATAAAGTACCTAGGGCTTATCCTTGATAGAAAGCATTCGCGGAGACCTAACTTTTAGGTGCGAGTGAAGAAGGCATCTGTTGCCTTATAATGCTGTAGAGATATTGGAAATCCACCTCTCCTATGTGATTTGGCTCTACAAACCATAGCCAAGTCAACAATGTTTTATAGAAAAGTCGTCTGGTGAACGGCGCTCGAAAAAGATGCACTCGTTAAAAATCTTGAACACGTCAAAGAGTGACTCTCATCTGTGGTGCAAGGCTGAAAACATCAATACTGCCATAGCACCCGTGCATATGCCAGCAAGTGCTTTGCTGTAAAACCCAGATGATCTGAGTACATAAAATGTCCAAACAGGGATATTCTGCAATACTCTACTTTGTCGGTGCAAAATCGATGGAGAAGAGACGTAGTAAGCTTTTTCACGGTTAGATCGAAGCTCAGAGGAAAGGTGAGGTTTCTTTAAGGAGTAGCCTGAAACTATGCTTGGCCGAGAGAAACTTGAAACTACCGGACTTGAGGTTAGAAACCTTTGGTTAAACAGTCGTAATTAATATTAGCAGTATTAACAAATTTGTGCCAGACTCAAAACGCCTATTAGATATTAATATATTACTTATATATGGTAAATCGTTTTTACAACAATAATGATGTATTTTTCAGCGCCAATTAGTTGCAAAAATAATCATTGTTTATGGTTTAAATTTTATATTTCATTTAAAGCTGAAAATTAGATTTTCATTTCATAAAGAATACTAGTTTTATTTAGTAATTGTTAAGACTCATGTATAAATATATAAATTCTACATTTAATTTCAGGGCTCTCAACTTTTTGCCATAAGACAAAAGATTGTTTCAGCAGAAACAACAGAAGGTACAGTGTTTTTGCTAGGTCCACTTGACTTCGAAAAACAAGCTATGTACCATTTAACTATATTGGCTAACGTAAGTATATAAACAACAGTTTGTCAAAGACTTTCGAATACTGTAAATTTATAATTTTCAATGAGATTTTAAAAATCAAACATTCGAAACTTATGTATATTTAAAGACTTCACAAATGTTAAATATGTTAAAATATTATTCACTTTAACAATGAGTCGAATTTTTCTTTTATTTTACCTATAATAATTGCTATATAAAAACATTTTATATAAATATCCCTTGCAAAATATATTTTATTTAACTCGTCTGAAAAATACGCTTTCTGAATATAAACAAAGAGTTGGCAAAGCACCAAATCTTTTTGTTACTGCTGTTTTGCCTTTATTTTTGCATAGATTTTGCCGTTTTGCTGATTAAAAACTTCTTCAGCAGTGCAAATTTCTTTATATGTAAAAGGATAATATCATGGGCGTTGACCGCGTACCACAAAAGAATTCGCTTGCATCTGTTGAGGCAAATTTGCTTCAAGCGCGTTGCCAGAAGAGATCATCTCGAATAAGTCTTTACTTTGATCTGGTCGATAAATACCTTTCCTTTGACGTAAGTTGCTCCAAATTTTTTGCTGAATTGGTTCAAACCAAGTGAGGATGACCACTTTTCTTTCTGTCATCTACAGTATACGTTACGGAAAACGAACAATAAACAAAAATTCTCAAAATATTAAGTTTTTTTACACTTATGTAAAACAATCACCGCAACACGATTTTCTCTAGTTCCCCACTCCATTATTAATAAGCGAAAGCGAACACTAAAACTGATTATTATATATGAGTAGACATGATTTTGATATATTGTAGACACTACATACAAATTATAATAAACAAATTATGATAATATTTAAAGTTTTAAAGTTCTTTTTTTTAATTTAGAATTTTAAAGTTCTCAGTTTTGATATTTTTATATCGGGTGTTTTTTTCGAGGTATAGAACTTTAAGTTTACTGTTCAAGATAACGACCGATTTAAAAGCTGTCAAGTGATTTATTCTCAGTTTGATTTGGCAATTCATCATGAATAGACTCACGCCTGAACAACGCTTGCAAATACGGCAATTTTATTTCGAAAATAATGGTTCTAGGCGGAATACGTATCGCACACTACGTTCGTTTTATGATGAAGCGCACTTCTGGTTGAATGGCTACGTCAACAAACAAAACTGCCGCATTTGGAGTGATACTAATCCTCAAGTGTATGTCGAAACACCGTTACATCCAGAACAACTGACCGTTTGGTGCGCTTTATGTCCTGGTGGAATCATTGGTCCGTACTTCTTCAAAACGATGATGGCCAGAACGTTACAGTCAATGGTGATCGGTATAGAACCATGATTACTTACTTTTTCATAACCATTTAAAATTCGCCGTGTTATTGCCGATATACGGCCACAAATGTTGGAAAAAGTCATCGAAAATTGGACGTCCAGATTGGACTACATCCGAGCCAACCGTGGTGGTCATATGCCAGAAATCATATTTAAAATGTAATGTCACAAGATTATCTTTCAGATAAATAAAATGCATGTCAATCGAATAATCCATCGATGTTTTATTGCAATTTAAAGTTCTATACCTCTAAACAAAAACACCCTTTATAAGGCGGACATGATTGACATAGCCACCAGATTGAATACGTAGTTGCTAAGCCACCCCAAATTTACATCCTTACTATATTGAAGTTTTTTATTGTTTAATTGGTGACTAAGTTATAACACTGTATACTTTTTATTACTTATGGCATTTTGTGAATGCGTTCCGATTTTGTCTATCTGAAATACCAATCTCAGGATGCTTACTAATATGTGTTTTAAGTTTCTTCAAGCTATCTGAAGTGTTACGTAAGTTATTGCTATTACACCCTGTGCAAAATGTTGCGAAAGAATAACTAAATGGAAAAAGTTCACTGCACATGGTACGAGCATGTTTCAGTTCCAAAAGTAAATGAAGTACATATGTCCATGTGTCTATTACACCCCATATTTTTTAAGAATATCCTTTATGTTTGATTCTTCCCTTATTAAAGCTTTTTTAATTTTTCTTTCATTATTTTTAAAGGATGCTTACGCTGAGCCCGGTCAAGACAACCGCAACATAGCTGGACTCGAACTAGTAGTGATTGTTCAAGACGTACAAGATCAGCCACCTGTATTTACATCAGCATCACCTGTGACTAAGTTATCAGCTGGTATTATTCCGGGCGATAAGGTATCATACCTAAATATACAAAAATATAACTTTAAAAATTATACACTAACATAACATTATACAGCAGCAAACACTCGCCCGTTTCGCTGCGACAATTATACTTGTATGTACTAAGTAATAGGAACTCATTTGACGACAAAATTCGTTAAAACCTCAAAGTGTTTAAAAATTTTATTTTGTTGTACTGAACATTTCGTAAAACTTTTTGTTTCCATAAGATTCGTCGTATACATATATAAGTTGTACTATATTATACGAGAATATGTGTAAAGTAGTAGTGATTTCAGCAAGATCACTTCACGTGGACCCCCAATTGTCCCCTTGTTCATAAAAATTAAGTCCAAGTATTTTTTATACTAAGTAGTTGCAATGAAAAATTTAACCTTCAAAGCTTTTTAAAATTTTAAATTTTTTAATGAAACATTTAGGTTCTTTTAGATAAAAAAAAGGGTTTTTAAATAAAGTTAAGGATAAACTAGTTAAATTTTCAGGATTTCTCGTCCAAAATGTATTTCATATAAAATCATTTTTATTTTATTTATTTGTCAATCCAACGGAAAAGAAGTAGACCCTATAAAGCTGAGTTGATTTAGCCATGTCCGTCTGTCCGTCTGTTTGTATATATACGAACTAGTCCCTTAGTTTTTAAGCTCTCGTTCTGAAATTTTGCACCTGTACTTTCCTCACTAAGATGCTGCTCATTTCTCGGAACGGCCGATATCGGACCACTATAGCATATAGCTGCCATTCAAACTGAGCAATCGGAATCAAGTGTTTTTATAGGGAACTTTTTTATTTGACGAGGTATCTTCACGAAATTTGTCACGGATTATTATTTAAGGTAATAATGGAATATCCGCAGAAGATTTATAGATCGGATGACTATAGCACATAGCTGCTATATTAACTGAACGATCGGAATAAAGGGCGTGTATGGAAAGTCTATCATTTGACGAGGTATCTTCACAAAATTAGGCATGATTTATTGTTTAAGGCAACAATGTATTCTCCGAAGAAATTGTTCAGATCAGATCACAGTATCATATAGCTGCCATACAAACTGAACGATCGGAATCAAGTGCTTGTATGAAAAACTCTTTCATTTGGCGAGGTATCTTATTTATTGTTTAAAACGACAATGTATTCTCCGAAGAAATTGTTCATATCAGATCACTATATCATATATCTGTCATATAAAGTGAACAATCGGAATCATGTTTTTTAAGGAACCTTTGTATTTGGGTAGAGTATCTAATGCTTTTTCGTTTTCTGGTTAAAATCAGACGTAAAACTATTCAAAATAACGTTAGTTGGATGATTAATATTAGTACAAAGCAAATGTTAAATGAAATCTTTTTGTGTACTAATTTGTAATTCCAGATGAGGGAACATCGAAAAATATAACTTCGAAAAATAAAAATACACCACACAATGTGCGAAATGGTATGTGAATTTCCGCATATTTCCGCAAATTGTATTAAAAGTGTTAAGAATTAATTGCAAGTTTTTACGTCCGCTCGTTGAGCAAGAGGAACAACATATGTATATTGCTACGCCAGCTAGTGCCTTCTCTATATTAATTGCAAAATAATAATCGTTATATTATTTTTCATAGATTTCTTTTAGCACTCATTCATACCCATTGTTATCTACACAAATTTCTTAGCTACCCGCTCTGATTAAAAGAATTTGTCGAATGTCACAGAGCAATCTTTGCGACATTTGCACTACTTGTGCTCCCAGAGATGTGTGTATATGTACTTGTATATGTATATGGACCAAATGTGCACTTTTGTGCGCGCTCATAACTCCCCCCTAAAAAAATATGGCTTAAGCGGTCGCGGTTTCACTTTTGTGGTGGCTTAGGTCGTAAGGGTGAAGGAGTTAAGCTTAATCCGAAAATGAGCATATACGTTCGAATCCTACAACTCATGAAACTTAAATTATATATAATTTTTTATTTTATTTATTGGAATCTAAGCATATCTCAATTAAATTACTTTAATAGCTTATTTTACTTCCAGAGATAATAAAAATATTTCAGGAAAATATGTTCATATGTTTAGGTTTATTGAATATTCCCTTATTATGCGTATTTACACAAATGTGATAATCACACATACATTCTTAAATACACGTACGCTGATGCTTTCTTCTTCTTGACCCGCACAAACAATGACTTTTGTCCACACTTTTTGCGAGAACCAAGTTGAACGATTGCAAGCAAGGAGGGGTTGGGGCGCACTGCCACATAATTACAACAGATATATTTTTATTAATCGAATAAGTCATTAATGCATTAGTGATTTTCAATACAAATTAAGCAACATATTAATATATTATAAGTTCTCACTTGACACGCCTTTGTGCATGGTTGCAAGCCAAGGAAATAACGGCGAGTTCGCCCGCACATTGTGTTGTCGAAAAGACGACTTTGTCGACAAACATACATATATACATACATGTATATGAGCTCGCATACATATTGACACCACATTGTGCGAATCGTCGCGGTGTCTCGTTTGTCATTTTTGCAGTGGTTTGCTATTGAAAGTTAGCTTATGCACTCTTGAAATACTGCGATTAGAGATTGGGGTGCATTTTTATAGCGTCGTTTTTAGATAAAATGGGCGAAATCGACAAACTATGAAACAATGATAATAAGTAAACATATAGTAGTACTATATGGACTGTTCTTAGAATACATAGAAGTAGTTAAATATTTCATATGAATGGCAATTTTACATATGTATATAAATTTTATAATTCAATGCCATATATAGTGCATAATATGAAAAAAATAAAAATATTATTTTAACTCGCTAATATCAGACAAATTCTTCAATTTCTGATTTTTACCATCGTCGTGAGGAAGCAGCTTGTGGGCAACATACAAACGCCTGGGGAGAGGTAGGATTTTCAGTGGTGGTTGTCAAATTTGTAAAATAGAATTTTTCTCGTTTTAATGAAATATTATCAAATTCAATTTCATTCATTCATTTAAATTAATTTCGCACATTTGCCTAGGGACTCTATATGAAACCCAAATGTGGTTTACCAAGCGCACAGTAAAAATAGCGCGGCGCAGAGTTATGAACGAACGCACTTTGCTTTGGCGCAGACACACATTCCTTATGAATGAATTTGTTGTCGTTGTAATATGAACTACTTAGAAAATATGGTGTGAGTTTGCTTGAACATTATTGGTCGATGATGATGCGTCTACGTTTTTTTTGTCACTTACGAGAATGTTTGAGTTTTTGCCAAAGACATATTGAGGGACATACAGACATATGTATATATAACTCTTGGAATTACTCAGTTATACTCGAGAACATGATTCCATGCAATTTTTTTAATATAACTCGTACACACACGAACATGTTCAGCATATATAATATATATTCGTGGACCGATTTGACACATTTTCGGCCTTAAATCAAATGTAGTATATCTAGTATTATCCTTCACTTTGCTAAGATATCTTACATATTGCCCGATATATACGGTATAAGGCCAATCGGAAGTTTGAAATCCTTATATTAGGTGTATGATGGGAAGTATTGACCCGATTTTATCCATTTTTGGCATCACGATACATGATTCATAAAGATAACTCACATATTGACCGATATACATATATGGTACAATATCAACCGGATGATCAAACATTTTTATTAAGGTGTACTTAACCCATTTTTGACACAAAGGCATATTATTATTTCAGTAATATTTCTCACAAATTTAAATGAAAATGCTTTCACTGAGAATCTTGCCCAGGTAATGGCACTAATAATTGAATAACATATCATTTACAAATTTTTCGGGACAAGCTTTTTTCGTACTGTGATAGCTTGATTTGCTATGTTTCACAAAAGCAATTATCACCACGTTTCAATTAGAAAACATATTCAATTGAGGAAGTGAACAATTGTCGATGTCGGATTTAAAATTGTATCATCAGCAAAATATTTTGATTTGAAATGTACACGAAATGAGAACTTAAATTATTTGAATTTCTAATAAAATAAATTTTACTATGTTACAGATACTGCAAGTACATGCCGAAGATGGTGACAAAGGAAGTCCCCGTGAAGTGCGATACGGTCTTGTTTCCGAAGGAAATCCATTTACTTCCTTTTTTGATATTAACGATACAAGTGGTAAGAGAAAAGAAGATTAATAAAGAATAGTATTTTTGAACGTTTGATCAAAACTATTTTCAGTTAATAAAAGTTAAAAATGAAAGTTATTTCAACTAGTCCAATACTTGACAATCGGAAATATGCGTTTCATAAAGAATAATTAGCCCGATAATTTATGTATATCAAATATCAACTAACAAATATATTATATCAATTGCTTACTTTTTTAAAACGCTTTTATTAGCTTCGCCTCTAAGTTCGCAACTTTTTTCAGTGAAAGTAAAACTCCAATAAATATATAATATTAGAGTGGCACTGTAACCAGAGAACTTAAAACAACATTTAAGTTCTCTGCTGTAACAAAACAATCAACAGTTAAGAAGCCCTATAGAAAACAAAATATGCCCCTGCAACTATGCAACGTGTAGCTAAAAGCTTTAACCAAGATCACATTAGGGAGGGGCATCTGCAGTTAAATTTTTTTTTTAAAGTGGGCGTGTTCCAGCCTCTAATAGGTTTAATGTGCATATATTCTAAACCGCTAATGCTATAATAACAAAATTCACTGGAAGCAAATGTTTTTAGCACTTCTATTGACGGTATGAAAATAGTTGAAATCAGGTCGCAACTCCGCCCACTCCCCATATAACGGTACTGTTAAAAACTACTAAAAGCGCGATAAATCAAGCACTAAACACGCCAGAGACATTAAATTTTATTTCTGGGATGGTATGAGATGACTTTATAGAAACCGCGTTCAAAATTATACAGTGGGCGTGGCACAGCCTACTTTTAGGTGAAAACCCATATCTTGAGATCTGCTTAACCAATTTCAACAAAATTCGGTACATAACGTTATTTTCATATTTCTATGTTATAGTGCCAAAATGGCACTTTTTGACGTAAATCTATCATTATCATAAGCTTATTTTTATATTATACGAGTATTATACTTGTATCTGTTGTTTTTTATGGAATGTCTGATAACTAATTGGTCCTTTAGTTCATACTAGTTATAAAGTAGGTAATATTTGATTGAAGAGTATTTATTTACATATCAAGTACATATAGCGTATCATTTTCTAAGGTACTCGAATGCTGGTTATATTGTATGATTTCATATTAACCGCGTAATTATGTAGCTGCTATAGCTTACACAATAAAAATAGCAATATATTTAATTTTTCTTTCTATCTCTAGAGAGTCAAAACTTTACAAAACACATGATTTTGACATTTTAGAACCCAATTAAAATGAAATAAAAAAGATTCTGATTATTTTCCTGTCCTCGAATAATGCTTATATGACATTTGATTCCGATTAAACCCGAAAAATAATAAATAAATATTGAAATCATTGAATCACTTATAGTTTCTATTTAGAGAATTGCAATAGCGAGTAATATTGTGTAATAACTATTGCAGTGTCGATAACAATTTCCCAACACCTTTACCGCTGTTCATTCCTTTCGCTGGTTACTTTAGCCATCTAGGGATTGGAAGAGAAGAACGATATGACCAAAGATGCCTTTTATGAACGACTGAAACGGCCTTGCGATTTTAACGTCAGGATGGACAAAGAAGATATCTTTGGCACAACAGTTGGAAAATTCAGATTCCATAGCAAAACTTTTCGAAATGGGTTGAGGCTGATCGAATTCACCGGGAACCGAAATATGGTTGTCTGTAGTAAAGATATCAGCACAGGAAAATTCTTCAAGGTACTTGGCAGTCTCCGGATCGAAAACTAGATCGATCATGACGTGATAGATGGACGACTTGCACTCCTGCTCTCTGAGAACAGTCATCAGAAACTTGGTATAAGGGAACTACGGGACGGCATTTAAAGCTCCTTACGTACAGCTGTAAGCGAGACAATTAGTTTTCGTAAAGGTCAAAAGAACAGCTGAGAACTGTCGTGTCGCTGTGGAGAGAAAGCGGACTGCCTACCTCGCAATGTTGCAATAGTACTGGTCAAGCGGGGTGAGATAGATACCGAGAGTTGGAGGGGAAGCGAGACGCATATGCAGATGCGGCAACTAACGGAAGGCTAGAAGACTGGATTAAACTCTTGTACGACGCAAAGAGGTGATCTAGTAACTGATGTCCAGGGCATACTGAATTGGAGAAAACACAGAGGAATCCGATTTCCCAATCGATAACGATGGTATAGATGTTCCATTGCCCAACTATGCGGCCGGCCGAGCTATTCAAATACAGCGGAGAAGAACTAACAAATTTCATGCATCAAATTCTTTAAAAGCATGCCCGACGATTAAAATTGTTGACCAGATATTTACCATGCGCCAAATCTTGAAAAATACCCGTAAAAAGAAGATCTACACACATCACTTTCGTCGATTTTTAAGCCGCCTTCGACAGCATGAAAAGAGCTGCCTTAATGCCGCTTTGTCTGAACGTGGGGATGCAAAACTAATACGGATGTGTAAACAGACGTTGAGCAACACCAAGAGTACCATCAGGATCGATAAGAACCTCACCGCCTTCGATAGAATGATGAGCTGTACGAGATATCCGACAAAACTGACATAGTTCAGCGAATCAAGAGACAACGGCTACGCTGGCTAGGTCAGGTTGTCCAGATGGATAAGAATATTCCAGCTTTGAAAGTATTCGATTCAGTACCCGGCGGTGAAAGCAGTGGAAAAGGAAGACCTCCACTCCGTTGAAGAGATCAGGTGGAGAAGAACCTGGCTGCAAATAGCGAAGAACAACTGGCGCACTGTCTTTAACTCGGTAAAGTAAAGAAGAAGCACAGGATATCCTAGTTCATCCTCACACTGTCCATAACGGTTATCTTATCTTTTCAAACAATTTTGGTGCATAATATTGTCCCGTTATCATTATGTTACAAATGGGCGAAATCGGACTTCAACTACACCTAATTCGTATATATCACATTTTTAAATTCTTATTCTTTCACTTTACAGTATACATATGTAACTAAGTTATCAGAATAAAACTCTTAGCAAATAGTGCATCTAAGGTAAGCCATCTGAGTGGACTGATTCCATTGTATAAGTAAATTTATACAATGACTGATTCCATTGACTTTTGGCAGTAAACTAAAATACATAATAATAATATTATATTAAACTAAGATAACTCAGACAATTACCGATCTACTCGGTGTAGTCAATAACGGAATGCAGTATATGTACAATAGTATATGTGTGCTTGATAATATAGACCGTTTTAAACTATAGCATAACTAAAATAATACTTACACTTAAATACAGTATTAGGAATATGGGGGGATAAAGGAGTACTAAAAACAGAAGAAAATTATCTTATCCAGTGTCATCCATGTATAATGAGGCGCTAAAGTGGATGTATGTTCATATATTAAACCATTTAGAACCCCAATTCTCAAACATTTTTAAACTACAAATGTTTACTCTAAGATTCGCTTGCAGGGACAAACGGACGGGCAGACATGCGAAATTTTATCTCGTTAACTCTATTTCACAACAAAAAAACTCTATGCAAAATCTTGCGAGATTATAAAAATGTAGACAGTTATCAGTTGAATTCCAATACTTGTATAATAATGATATCATATAGATTTCTCTGACTAAAATTATAAAGAAATCTAATCGTATGTAACCAGTAATTTATATTATTAATGCTGTTTAGGTGAAATATTCTTGATGCGGCCACTGGAGGAAATCGCAGCTCTCACTCATGTTGGAGATCCTGTTTTACTCACCGTGATTGCTGAAGAAGTTAAAGTTGGACGTGACGAGCCCCCAGCTATGGCTTCAACAGTACAATTGGCTTTATTTTTACCAGAACGGACCAATTCTGCACCTTATTTCGAGAACGATCAGTTAGTATAGTGCACTTAGTTTAAACATAAAATTTTAACACAAAATTTTAACACACATGCAACTTATCGGTATCGGTGCCAAGTATATTTTGAATAGTATAAATTTAAAGTTTTTCTAGCACCCATATGATGAGTTTACTTATTTCTGTTAAATAGGTTAGCTTTGATGTAAATATTGCAAACTGCAAATAAGACATAGTAAAATAATAACACTAAGAGCATAGATAAATAATTTATCCATGACTAAGAGTGTTCGACTTATAGCATACAGTAACTTTAACAATTTAACAAGAAATGTTGACTTCTTATACATACCTACATATATTACTAAAATATATATAATAGCTGTCTTCGATTGGTAATTTCTCTTCTCGCTTCAGCTCTCTTGTCAAAAAATTTACATGCGAAAGCAACAACAAAGCTATCGAGTTGAATTGAAGCAAGAGAGTATGCGGATACCTCATTAAAGTGGTATAACTTCTATCTTCAATGCTGCCAAGTTTTGCTTTACATATTTTAGCTCACTTTTACTATTTTGAATGGTTCAAATGACAAACGAAATTACAAATTTCTTTTTTTTTCTTGTATTATATTTTTAAAACTTAAGACTTAAAATCAATTCTAATAATTTATAGAAAACCAAAATAAATGGTTACAGTAAAGTTTTTTAACGAAAAAAATATAAGTTCTCAGCTAAGAAAGAATCATACCACTATTGCGCATGCGTCAGAAGACGTGTTAGCGCAGGATTGCACCCTAAGTGCTGCCCGTTTGTTTGAGCATCGTGTAGAGTTTGTTCGATTCGCCAAGCGTTAAAGCGTTACTCTCCAGCTAAATGAGTAACACTGGAGATAATTCATAAGTTTTAACTGTATCAATGAAGGGGTTAATCTAACAGAAAGTGAGTAACCAGCTAAATGAGTAACACTGGAGATAATTCATAAGTTTTAACTGTATCAATGAAGGGGTTAATCTAACAGAAAGTGATTGCAGAGGTCTTAAAAGGGCTTTATAAGGAAATACGGATACTTGTATAAATGTACTAGTAGGTTGACACACAATACACATAATATAGTATACATATATATATTTACGTGTCCTCAAAGAAATATTGTAAATATATTAGATTTAATATATGTATCTATGCGGATTCTTTCTTCTATTCAAAATTTAGTCACTAGCTCTTCAATATAAGTAGTTAGGTTTCAAAATTTTAAGAGAACAAAACGAATTGTTGCGAGTGTAAAATGCACCTACAAAAATACAAATATACATATACATATATCTACATAAGAAGTTTAATAAGCACTTAATTTTCTCTTCTGTTTTGTATAATTTTTCAGCTACGTTTCAAGAATTGATGAAAATTCCCCACAAGGTACTGCGCTTACATTTGCCGACCCATATGTGTCACGTGTTTATGACGATGATATCGGCAAAAATGGAGTTTTTTCATTGACTTTACTCAATAATAACGGAACGTTTGAGATTTCTCCGAATGTTGCTGAACGGAGTACTTCATTTCTCATACGCGTACGAGATAATATTCTCTTAGATTATGAAGAACGTCATTTTGTGCAATTTCAAATATTAGCTCAAGAATTAGGACCAACTACAAATCTTTCAACTACCGTCAACGTAACTGTATACATAAATGATGTTAACGACAATCCGCCCATATTTGAACAGTCTATGTATACCGTTGAGCTGCCAGAAAATATGACTGTAGGAACGAAAGTTATCCAAGTTAAAGCCACCGATGTAGACACAGCCGATTTAAGTGGGCATATACGATACACAGCTATTTTGGGCTATTTAAACACCTCATTAAATTTAAACGCAGACTCAGGACTAATTACAGTTTCCACTGACAATCACGGGTTTGATCGTGAAATAATGCCCGAATATCATTTATACGTAGAAGCACGGGACAATGATGGTACAGGTAATCGTGCTCAAGTGCCATTAATTATAAAAATTATAGATGTCAATGATGAAACTCCAATTTTTGAGAAAGAGGTGTACGAATTTATACTATCTCCAAACTTGAAATCCTTCACCTCTGTAGCCATTATACACGCCATAGATAAGGATGCAACATCACCTAACAACGAAGTGCGATATGAAATAGTTAACGGAAACTACGAAAATAGATTCACTTTGAATAAAATAACTGGTGAACTAACTGTGCGAGAGAGGATTACATTACCCATCAAAGCACGAAAAAAGCGTCAAATATTATCTCACATTGATGAGGACATTTTTTTTCTAACAGCGCGAGCGTATGATTTAGGAGTACCTGTGCGCTTTAGCACCACAAACATTCGTATATATCCACCCGAAAGTCGAACAGGTACTGTGACTTTCGTAGTGCCAGGTGAAAGTCCTGATAAAGTTAAAACAGAAGAAACACTTTCTACCATAACGGGAGGAAAAGTAATAATACATGATATTAGACCTTTACAACCAGACGAACCCGGTGCAAACACAATTACAGGAGGCAACACGGATACAATGCGAAGAAGTGTCGTAACAGCTACCGTTCTTTATGATAGCACTTCGGTTGTAGATATATCGCAGATACAGCAACGTTTATCGCAACACAATAGTTCATATGCGATAATGAATGGTAGCGACACAGTAGCGACAGACGTAAGTATTCAATTATTTGTAAAACATTTTAAGTTAGTAAATTCAAATAGATTACGACTTCTTTACAGACTCTATACAAAGCCGAAAATAAATTGCTGTTCTGGCTGCTCATATTTTTAGCAACTTTAGTCGCATTGACAATTTTAATACTTTTGTTATGTTGCATTTGTTCATGGTGCCCATTACATGGAACTGCAAGGTAAATAAAAAATTTACAAGTATATACACTCACTCGTATACATATATACTGGTATGAGTACATATAAGTATGTATATTTTGGTAAATTGGAAAATTAATTTATATTAGATACCGTTATCCCTTACGGACGAATATTTGTTGGATAAGAGCACTTTTCACTTTAGAAAAAAGGTTGAACTAAAAGTTACAACATCGAAAGTCCTTCCAATTAACACCAATACTACGGATATATCTTAAAAATTAATTTTAATACTTTCATTTGTCTTTATAAAATATAATATGCAACATGCAGTATATTCATGCTAAAGTCAAATATACATGGGCCAACACCGCATCAAGCATTGTCGGTGTATTACATCATGTTCCCACCAAAAAATTTAAATGATTACATTATGTACATTCAATTTATTCACCAATCTAGGCTGTCCTTACTCCCGTTGGATATTTATAAAACATCTGTTTTTTTACACAACTCTATTAGATCGGCTTCGGCAGCTTCACTCCAAATTACTCTCCTTTATTTGAGTTAGTTTTCAATTATTTTCTTGATATTGCTTTAATTTTCTACTTTTTATATCTTGAACAAGGTATATTAAGTTTGCCACGAAGTTTGTAACACCCAGAAGGAAACGTCGGAGACCCTATACATAAATCATCGAAACATTTGTATATACAAGTATGTATGTAAGTAAAGGTTAATATTCGAGCATCGGAAAACAAATCATGCCAAATACAATACAAGTTTTAACATACGAGATGTGTTCAAAAAACAACGGGAATTTTTGTTGTTTGAAAAATACGAAATATTAATTTATCTACACTAATGTTGTCGCCTTCAAAAGGAGGGGCATTTGATATAATATTATGCGCTTATGCCAGGGCTTCTTCCAATCATCGAAACACTTCTCAAATTCGATTTTTGGGATAGCCTTTAGCTCTTTCACGGATGCGCTTTTAATATCTTATATGCTTATAAAACGATGTCCCTCTTTATATTTTTATTTATTTATTGCCTTACGAAAAATCCCGTCTTTTTGAAGTACTTCGGCTTAGGGTACTCAAAATAGCCCGATTAAGTACTTTTGTAAGTTTTTGGTTAGTTATGCGGGTTCGGTTCTTAGCGGGTTTTACTACAATACATTTATTGTTTTTGGCCACGAATTCACGAGCAAGCACCGAAGCAGGAGCATTATCGTTGTGCAAAAGCCATGTATTGTTTTTTCACAAATCTGGTCGCTTGCTTCACGCAATTTCGTGTCATGAGTCAATCGACTTCTCTGATTGCAATTTGGCGAACATTCATAACTATTGCTTTCCCTTTTGATACGTTTTCATTGTTTGTTTGAGGTGCTGGCGCACCTGGGCACTCATCATCTTCAACGTCTTCACGACACTTCTCAAAAAAGTGAATTTTGAATTGACGAAGTAACTACTGCGATTGTTTCTTGAACTTGAAAATACGGATCTTGATGGTATGATCTTACTGAGATACTTTTAGATTCTGCAAACATCCTTATAATGGTCCATATATTTCGGGGAGTGCCGCCAAAAGCCCGTCAGAATTCCCTTTGCTGCACTATCCAAACCCTCTTTTTAGTATTTCAGGCATTCATTTTTAAAAATTTAAATAATAGCCTGCGAAATAAATAAGTCATCAAAAGTTACCAAAAATCGATATTAAGCTGTGAACTTACCGTGATTAACAAACACTTATTAGCAAACAACAAACTTCTTAGTCTTAAAAGAAAACAGACATAAATTAATAAAATTATTATTAGCGCTATGTTAGGTTATGTGTGTCAGATTAACACAGCTTACTAAATAGGTTATGCGAAGTTTGTATACTGCTGTGAATGACGATGACATTCGTTACGCGCGTTTTATAAAATATGCAAAATTAAATGTATTTTTTCAATCTTTCTGAGACATTTTCTTAATATTTTTTCCATAAGAACCTTCTACAGAGTATTAGAAAACTACAAAAAAACAGCCAAATCGGTCTAGCCGTTCTCAAGTTATGGCGTGACAACGGGAAACGGGTTTCATTTATATACATATATATATATAGGTATATACAAGTATATATAAGATAAGATAAGATATACAAGAGAGTCGTGTTAGTTACAATATTTATAACTCAAAAACGGTTTAACCAATTTGGCTAAAAATTCGTGAGGAGATAGCTTAGAATCGTCTATTTTAATCATTTGCTACTGTTGTTAATGAAAATGAAAACGTAAATTATCTAGATATTCTCGGAATGACATCACATAATCTTCGGTTGAAAATTATTAAGAGTAATTTCAATTCACCTCAATTATGCAACGGTACACGTTTGGTAATCAAAAAGAATACAAGAAATATTCTCGTAGCAATCATTTTGACTGGAAAATGTAATGGAGAAATGGTCCTCTGGTCACGTTTTCCAATGATACTGCCAGTTATTATTAAAAATTAAGAATGATCTAGACTAGAGGACCTCCTCCACGCGTTGCTGTGGCTAAGGTATACATTAATTATAAACTATCAAATACAGCAAAATTGTATTTATGAATAAAAACGAAAACGTTATTTGCGGTGTAAAAATAACCCCGCGGATCACTTCCAAATCAAGCACAAATAGCCACAGCAACGCGTGGACGGGGTCCCCTAGTATATTAAATAAATTCCTTGAAAATATATTCTCAAGTACCATATACCTTAGCAATGTCCAAATTAATTCAAATTCCTTGAAAATATATTCTCAAGTACCATATGCCTTAGCAATGTCCAAATTAATAAAATTAGCCTTGTTACTTACTTGTTCCCTTTCTTTATCTCCAATATACCCCTGGCTTTAAACCGTTCAGGTTGGTCAAGATGTGATATTATATAATATATGAAATTATCGGTTGAGTTGATATCACATACATATATCTCATGTGAAGATGTTTTTAATATAATTTTAGCTGACGCGAACTATAAACTACAAGTATAACAATAAAATTGAGTGGATGTTAATGATCAAGTCAAAAAAATACCAAATTTGATAGTAATTTATTCACGATTTCTTCGAAAAATGGATGTTTAAATCTTTCGCAACATATTTTAATTTAAAGTTGCAATGAAATGCATAAAATGTTTGGTTACACCCGAACTTAGCTCTTCCTTTCTTGTTTGTTTTTATTTTTACATGATTCTGCAATGAAGAACACATTTCTTTCTAAATGTTCACCCCTATACGATCAACACCTGATTTTTAATCACAATTTTTATATTATTGCGTTCCATCCACAGATGCTATAATTTTCATGTATACCACAGTTCTATCAATCAATCAGTTATCCCCGCCAGCTGTCTCCCGTTGTCACTTCTCTGGTTCAGAAGTTCAAATATTACGGAGTAGAGATGAAAACGAAGCTTTCTTTTTCTCACTCTCTATACAGTTTTTGTCCATGTTCTTTATTTGATCTTATTTGTGTATCGATCGTAGTAATGACTGTTATACGTATCATTTTAATTTTTCAGTGCAACTCTCAAGTTAATTTTATTCTTATAGTGAATTTAACATTATTTCTTGGTGTAAAAAATATCGATATCGCAGACATTGACATTGCTGAGTAAAACATGCATTAATATATGTAATGTTGTACCAAATATATTTGCAAGTATGTAAATAAAGGAAGTAAATTTTAAAATTAAAAATACTATTGTAAATGATCCTCCAATAAATGAAAATGATGAAATTACGAATTACCAAATTGACCGGTTAATCAGCTCCAATTAAGCTGCATGACGTATCTTCGGATTTCAAATTCATAAACAGGATCCAGCAGTTATCCATTTATTTCTTTATCCCGAAACCAGTCTACGCGTATTTTTCATGAACAACATCCTGCTATAATAATTGGGTCGTGTATATAGTGTCAATCCAAGGCAGACTGGGCGCTTTTATCTGCGACTGTTGTTGGTTAATGTCACCGGACCATTGTAGTTGCAAGATATTATATAATATATGTAAAGAAATGGACAACCGTATTCAACGTATAAAGTCATGGCTTGCACTGGGATTGCTAAAAAATGCTTTCTGCAGCTACATTAAATTGCACAGGAACACAAATTAGTCTATTATTTAGTATTGATGACATGTTTCCCTATCCGCACAGAAATGTTATGAGAAAATCGTATGAGAAAATCGTAAAGATTCGGAGTGCATCTGATTTAATCAACACGGATATATGTAAACCGTGAAGCGCAGTATGATACTGTCGAATTGGCAGCGACTGTTACTCGCAATGTTCCATTACAAAATGATAAACAAAAATTAATTTACGACCGCATACTACTTGGCGGCACTCTGTTACTCCTTTCAGATGATTTCAAGTACGTTCAACGTAATCTGATGGTAATAACGTTTGCTTAAAATCATCGCGACTGTTGAAAAAATACAACTCACAGTGAACATGCGCGTTCATATGCTTCAGGATCCATCTGTAGAAACTTTTTCAAAACAACAGTTGGATATTGGCAATATAAAAGTTTCTGAACATGAAAATACTAGATGCATAAAATTATCGACGGATTTTACAATCAACAACATAGAAAATACTCTCATTGACAATATATTTCCCGATGTATACACAAAATATAAAAATTTTATGAGTTGGCAGAAATAGTGATTTTAGCAGCAAAAGATGTGGATATGGGAAACAGAGAAGGGATGGGATGATTGAATTAATTTTGGCATTGCTGATGTATACCTGAGATCATATTTTCAAGCAACTTTATAAATATATATATAATACACACATTAAACGACATCTTCGGCATAAGGTTTGTTGGAATAACGAAAATCAATATAGGTATTTGGCATTTGGGGTATTTGTAGACTAAATTCGCATATTTTTGGCATTTAACTATAGTTATATATATTTATATATAATAATATATATATTATAAACATTATACGTTAAACTATAGTATATCCAGTATTATACGTTCGGTTAATTTTGCTAAGACAT